TAATTCATACAAAAAGACTCATAAATATAAATGCAACATAGACTCAATGCATGTGGTATCAATCATCATATTGCGATGGACACTGGGCCATCAAACCTCCATAGATCCCCATTAATAAGATCGATTCTGCTAGAGAACTGGAGCACATCAAAATACTTCACATCCACACAATGGGATTGAAGCCAAAATAATCGAGGTACTGAACCGAAGTTCGGATGCACATGAATGCATGATGCACACGTCACAAATCATCCTCATAATAACAACATAAGTGCATCATCATTCATCATATTCATCATCATCACATCTCATGTCATCATATAATTCATCAAAATCAATGGTAATATCATCATATTACATCATGGAAATCATCATATCATCATGTACACATCACAATAAAACTCACTGTCATACTCAGGTTAATTCATCACAGAAATCATAGAATCAAACATCAAGGCATCACTGCACACGATCAACATATGCAAAACTCTGCTACATTCGCTGGCATGTTCTCTAGGCGAGTTCGGGGCGAGTTTCTTTGCTAGGCGAGTCTGGGAACAACATGGTTCGCTAGGCGAGGCTTTCTTCGCTAGGCGAACAATGCGATGACAACAAATTCTGCTACACACCAGAACTTAAAATCACTCAAAAAGCTCCATGATTCACTTCCCCAATGCCCCCAAAACATCCCTAAATCATCCCTAATGTCTTACGGCGATAAAGGCACAAAACCTACGGTTCATTAGGCCAATCCCGTAACATATTCATGTCCTAAATCATAATTTTTCCTTCAATTACACCCTAAGGCATTCAAGTTACTCACTATCCAATATTCTATCCTTACAGGGTCATACATATAACAATTCCAGGTTTTTGGCCACGAAGGCCTAAGGTCACTATTTCTCATATCCATGCTTTAACAGTCAGGAATACTTATCACTAACCACAACCATTAGGGTCCTCACCATCAATTTCCCCTTTTCCCACAATCGACCCAGAATCCCTTAAACCTAAAATCATCCATAATTACATTGAAAGGCACACATGGAAAATCATGAAAAGCTATACTCCCCATACCTTAGTCGATTCAAAGCCTTCACGATTATCTCCGGGAATCTTCTGCCTCCAATCTTCTCCTTAGAGCTCTCTGGCCACAATACTTTTTACGGTTAACCAATGAATCCTAATTCCCTTCAGAATTCTATTTTGTCAAACCTAGTCTTGGGCCTCACAATTTGGACTTTTCCCTTATTACCTTTACTAACTCCTCCAAATGCTCAAATTACCCTTATTTCACTTATATTCATTTTAAATAATAATAATACTAATAAATTTATATTATATACTATTAATCAAATAAATAACCCAAAAATGCACACTTTTCCGATAATCCACAAACTATCGAAAATCACCGAAAAATGAATATTCTTATTTAAACAATTAAATAAAATATTTCAATTAAATTTGGAGTGTTACATAATGCACATGATATGATATGTGGAACTTTAGAGATAAAAATTAGGGTGTGACATACATTAAATTAAATCATGAATAAACACATAAAATATTGTCATCTGCATATAGGATATAACATGGAAATTTTGTGCCTCGAGGTCTATTTATCAAGTCTAATTTTTCATCTTGGACCATATATTAGATAAGCATCTATTGAGGACATCTTCATTCAAGAAAAAAGAAGAGGATATAAGGTATCTCCTTACCTTACACCCTTATTACAAGAAAACAATTCAACTTGACTGTCATTTTAAAAAATAGATAGCCTAACAGACTTGAGAATAACCTGCAAAAAAAACATGAAATAATGTATGAGAGAAGAGATATTTCTTGTGCATTATCATATTTTTATGATTTTGTAAAAATATATAGTATTGTTTTCCAAAAAAAAAAAATTCTTCAAAATTAAAGGCATTTCTTTTCTTGTTTCACAAGGAAGTCATTGTAGCCAACAATTGAATTTGGCTCTGAATAGAATCCATATTTGCTAAAGCATTGGTTACCTAATTCAATGTTTTTCTGGAGCCACAATTTAATTAAAATAAAATAAACAAGCTAATTGCAAAGTATTTCAATAGCTACAAACAACAGTAAATTTAAATAAATTTATCATAATGTAAACTATTTAAAATTTGAAAAATATAATAGAATTTTTAAAATAACTTACCTATTTAAAATTATATTTTGTTATGTATATTAATAGTATTTTTTAAAATGGTTATTTCTATATTTATAATTCGCTTAATATATAAGTTTTATTTCTAATTTTTAATCATTATTATATTCACATCTTTTTGGCACCATTGGTGCAATAGTTTCGAAATAGCTCATTATTATATTCACATCATTTTAGCATCATATTCTTCACATGACAACTTATCTTTTAAACATTCTTTCCTATAAAACACTACAAAATCAAACATTAAAACAACTCTTATATCACTGAAATTTCACCTACACATTTACAAGTTTTTGGTCATATATGTTATCCTTTATTCTCATCCTTTTATAACCTCGCTTTATTCTGTGTGTTCTTGAGTTATCCGTTGAATCATAGAGGCTATAAGTGTTATGATTTGTCAAACAGAAAATCAATAATTTTGAGGCATGTTATCTTTGATAAACTCGCACAATCAACTCGCCCACTACAACCTCCTCTCCATCACCACCACCAACCCAAACCCATCCACCTCCACCTACACGAATGATCACCACTCGTAGTATGAAAGACATTGTTAAACCCTGCAAGATATTTACGCTATCAGCATGTCAACCTGACCAAACCATCTCTCTCATACCTAAAAACACCTTAAACTAGCATTATCCAACCCGAATGAAAATTCGCAATGCAATCTGAATTTGATGTTGTTGTTAGAAATAAGGCGTGAGATTTAGTTCCTCGTCCTTATGATGTTAATCTTATTTGGGCCATGTTGATTTTTAGGCATAAGAAAAATTCAGATGACTCCTTTGAGCATTATAAGACCCGTCTTGTAGGTGATGGCAGGTCACTGGTTGCAGGTGTGGATTGTAATGAAACTTTTAGCCTGGTATCATGGCTCATTCATCAACTGGATGTACATAATTCATTTTTATATGGTGATCTCCATGAGACTATTTACATGCATCAGCCATTGGGTTTCCACTACTCTCATCATCCAAATTATTTACAGTGTCTGAAGAAATCACTTTATGGTCTCAAGAAAGTGCTCAGAGACTGGTATCAACACTATGTTAATTATCTAGCCACCATTGGTTTTCACCATAGCACATCAAACCAATCTTTCTTCATATATCGATAAAGTTCTGACATGGCCTATATTCTTCTATATGTAGACAAAATAATCCTTATCACCTCTACTCATACCCTTGCAAATAAATTATGTCACTCTTAGCATCTGAGTTTGCGATGAAGGATTTGGGTCCCCTGAGTTATTTTTTTAGTATTGTTGTATCTCGTCATCCTAGTGGCATCTTTCAATCAAAGCACTTATACCTCAGAGATCATCAAATGTTCTGGCATGGTGTCCTATAACGTCACTCCTGCTAACACCAAGAAGAAACTTAGCACCTCCTCTAGCACACCTTATGAGGACCCCCTATGTATATCCAAGTCTTGTAGGTTACAATATATCATCTTTACTTGACCTTACATAGCATATGCAATTAAGCAAGTTTGTCTTCACATGCATGCACCTCGCATAGAAGACGTGTTTGCTCTCAAGCGCATTTTGTGCTATGTTCATGGTATAATACATTTTGGATTACACTTATCATCATCCCCCGTTATACAACTTATCTCCTACACTGACGCTGATTGGGTTGATGTCCAGACACCAGACGCTCCACATTTGGATATTGTGTCTTTCTAGGTGAGAACCTTATCTCTTGGTCTTTCAAAAGGGAACTCACTCTATCTCGTTCTAGTGTTAAAGTTGAATATAGAGGTGTTACTAATGTTGTGTTTGAGTCGTGTTGGTTTCATAATCTACTTTTGAAGCTTCATTTTCCTATTCATCGAGCTACTTTTGTGTATTTTGACAATGTTAGTGTCATTTATCTCTCTGGTAATCATGTGAAATATCAACGTACTAAGCATATTGAGATAGACATTCATTTTGTTCGGGAAAAAGTAATATGTGGTCAGGCATGTGTTCTTCATGTTCTCTCCGAACATTAGATTGCAAACATCTTCACCAAAGAAATTCCTCACATTTTCTTTGATGGTTTTCGGACCAGTCTAAACATTTGTGAACCTCCCACTTTGACGGTATGGTGTGATAGAATAAAATATTATTATTATAATCAGTCATAATTAATTTATTGTAATTAGAACATTTTTTCTATGTAGTTATGTTGTATCATAATTAGAAATCGATCAAATGTTATAAATGTATTCTATTCACATAAATAAGAAAAGCTAAGCATTCCATTATCTTAGAAAAATTATACTAATAAAATATATAATTTTTTATCCATTAAAAATTATACTACTGAAATATATAATTTTTAATCATTAAAAAATATAGTAATAAAGTATATAATTTTTAATCATTAAAAAATATAGTAATAAAGTATATAATTTTTAACAAATATTATACAATACAGGCAAAATGCAGTAGTATATATATTTTTATATAAAATAAGTAATATGCATTAATATGTTTGTCTTCAATTCTTTACAAATCCACCAAACAGTTGTTTCAAAATGACAGGTACTAGATTAATACTAATCCAAAACCACTCTTTAAATTAAGTATTTAATCAATGGATTAAAACTCAATAATATTTTTGACATTTGAACATCATGCATACACTCTCATATTCAAGTTTTCTGTTAATTATAACCAACTAAGAGAAGAAAGGAGAGAATAAAAGATTCTTGTTTCTTGGTTTTCTCTCATCCTTGTGATTAATTTTTTATGATCAATATTGTTTTCCATTGTTATGCATAACTAAAAAAATTAGAAATAAAATTTAATAAAATGAGAGAGATAATTAGCATTCATATTGGACAAGCTGGAATTCAGGTAGGTAATTCATGTTGGGAATTATATTGCCTTGAACATGGCATTCAACCAGATGGAACAATGCCCAGGTTTTTATTATAAATTATTTTTTAATTCTATTTCTGTATATTATTTTATATTATGTAGCTATGTTTTTTCATAGATTTAATCAAATTTTAAAAATATAGACATCCCAGATATATAAGTTATAACCTATTATTTATAAGCTGATTATTAATATCTTATTTTATAGACGGATCATTAATCATGTATAAGAAATCTTTGAATGATTTTAAATTGTGAGATAAATCATATAGGAGATGTATCTGGTGTTTGACATTGATGCCGCACGGATATATAAAAAGTTACATTTAAATATTTCATCTTTTTTTATTATTGACGGTGTTAGCGTGTAAATTTCAGTTTTGTGTCTGGTGTCTGTATCAATAATTCATAATATTTTTGCAGTGATGTATCAAATGAGCCAAAACATGATGACGCATTTAACACATTCTTTAGTGAAATTGGAACTGGGCAATATGTTCCAAGGGCTCTATTTGTTGATCTAGAGCCAACTGTAATTGATGAAATTAGAACTGGTCCTTACAGACAACTCTTTCATCCAGAACAGTTAATTTCTGGTAAAGAAGATGCTGCTAATAACTTTGCAAGGGGACATTATACAGGTTAGTCACAAATCAAATGTGTCTCTGGTGTCTGACACTGACACGGATCTGTGTCTGATTCTGACACATGTATTACATTAGAATAATTCGTTTTCTTTAGTTGTTACTGGTGTTCGGCTTCTGTATCTATGTCCGTGCTTCGTAAACTTAAATGAATTTGAAGTTGTTTATCTAAATTTTGATTTGGTTAAATACTTATGATGCAGTTGGAAAACAAGTTGAAGAACTGTGTCTAGATCGAATCCGAAAACTAGCGGACAATTGCACCGGCTTGCAAGGTTTCTTGGTTTTCAATGCTGTTGGTGGTGGAACTGGTTCTGGTTTAGGATCATTACTTCTAGAGAGATTGTCTGTGGATTATGGAAAAAAGTCGAAACTCGGCTTCATCATTTATCCTTCTCCTCAGGTTAGGCTAAGGAAAATCGGAACAATGACTTATTTAGATTGATAAGTACTTGTAGGACTATTTGACATGCTGATAAGTTGTTTTCCGCGTATTTTCATTAAGTTTCGAAAATAGCTTATAAAAACAGCTTAGAACTTATATGATAATGATAATGATAATGTGATTATGAACATGCAGGTGTCGACCGCGGTTGTCGAACCATACAACACTGTTCTATCGAACCATTCTCACATTGAGCATAGTGATGTAGTTGTGCTTTTAGACAATGAAGCAATCTATGACATTTGCAGAAGATCTTTAGACATAGAAAGGCCAACATACACCAACTTAAACCGATTAATATCGCAAAGTATCTCGTCTTTAACGACTTCGTTGAGATTCGACGGTGCCATCAACGTAGACATTTCCGAATTCCAAACTAACCTCGTACCTTATCCTCGAATCCATTTCATGCTTTCGTCTTACGCGCCCGTGATATCGGCCGCAAAGGCCTATCACGAAGCGTTGTCGGTTCCCGAGATCACTAGAGCTGTTTTCGAGCCGTCGAGTATGATGGTTAAGTGTGATCCAAGACATGGAAAATACATGGCATGTTGCTTGATGTATCGCGGCGATATTGCCCCGAAAGATGTTAATGTTGCAGTTTCAAATATCAAGACAAAGAGAACAGTTCAATTTGTTGATTGGTAACTATAACTATATCAGTAACTTATACGATAAGATAAGCGCTTATGTTATATAAGCGCTTAATTAAGCGAAAAAACATGGTATTGAAGACTAATTAACTTTTTTTTAGGTGTCCAACTGGATTCAAGTGTGGCATAAACTTTCAACCGCCGACCGTTGTACCGGGAGGCGATCTAGCTGAGGTGAAACGCGCGGTTTGCATGATAAGCAACAATACAGCTGTGTCGGAGGTATTCAACCGGATTGATCACAAATTTGATGTCATGTATGCAAAAAGAGCTTTTGTTCATTGGTATGTTAGTGAAGGAATGGAAGAAGGTGAATTTTCGGAGGCTAGAGAAGATCTTGCTGCTCTTGAAAAGGATTATGATGAAGTTGGTGAAGATGGTGTAGATGAACAAGTAGAAGATTATTGAATTTAATTTAATGTATGTATCTATATTACTATCTTGTTGATATGTTTTGTTATGAATTTGATTGATCATTGGTCAGACTTTACTTACTTCAGAGCCGAACTTCCGTTAGGAATCTGAAGGTTAATAGCACAAAAAGATTGAAATGAGAATGAAGTGTGTTTAATTCATGTATAGTACAAATGTTGTATTTACATACTCGTAATTAGATTTCACGCAGTCCTAAAATATAAAAGTGTTTAAACTTCAATAGGTACGACATTATTATGATTCTATCTGACTTGAAAGATTAGACTTTTTGCGCAAATATACCTAATTTAGAACAAAAAGAGAGATTTAAATTTGATGTGTATTGTTTGAACATAAAAATGAGCAAAAGGGTGAAAGATTCCATAGAGCTTCATTGCAATCTTGAAAATTTTCCATGTACTCATGCACACCATTAATTGCATAAAGTGAAGCTGATATTTGTCTTTCAACTTTCATCCTTTCAAATTCTGAAACTCCTAATTCATCAACCATGTCCAACCCTTGACCAATAGGAAAGTTATCAAAAATAGGTCCAAAATCCCATGAAACATTGGACTTATTGTAACTTGACTCATACTCATTGAAATTGCTCATATCGGGTCGATATGCATCATCGAATAATCTTGTGCTTTGCATTGTCATCACACTAAAAATCGAGTTTCCAATGTTTCCATCAATATTGTTGTTGCTTAAAGTAGTACTAGTGCTAGTCACGCTGTTAGCACCACCAGTACTATCAGTAGTACCACTAACAATATCAGACGTGTTAGTGGTGCTACTAACAGTAATACTAGTGTTAGTCACGCAGCTAGCACCAATATTATTAGTAGAACCACTAATCGTGTTAGCACTATTAGTGGTGTTACTAATACTGATTCTATTAGTATTACTATTAATTGTGTTATCATGATTCGTTGTATTGTTTCTGACCTTCAAATCTTCTTCTACTTGTTTTTCAATATCTTTTTCTCGATTGTTAAGAAGATTTTTAATCCGAGAAGCGAGAGGAGAATCATAGGAAACATGTGTGACGAAGTTGGTGCGAGTGTTGGAGCCACGAAGAAGTGTCGCGGCTTCGTCATAAGCTTTCGCGGCTTCCTCGGCTGTCTCAAATGTTCCAAGCCACATTCTTATGTTTTGTGTTGTGTCCTTAATCTCAGCAACATATCTCCCTGATGGCCTTTGTCTCACCCCAACAAACTTGTTTTTTCTTTCACTCTTTTTGTTTCCACCTTTGAATGTGTTGCTCCTTTTTGGTCTCAAACTCTTCTTTGGTTCCTCAAATTGAATTTCCATTGAGTATAGTGCAAAGTTTCTTACTCAATTTTCATGTTGTTGCTAGAAATTTGTGAATCATATATATGAATGAGAAAAAGGTGTCAAGTGGGATTAATATAATGAACTACAAGAATATTTATTATTATTTTTAATTATTATTTTTATTAAATATTTTAAATTATGAATGATGAAGACAACTTGACATTTTCATATTCAAAATGACCAATATACCTGTCTTGTTTGTTGGCATGACATTACCCTTGACATGGTCAAGTTTCAATTTGGATGTTGAACCAAAAAAAGAATCAATTTGATTTAATTTTAGTTGTCCCTCTAATACTTTTTTAAATATAAGAAAAATAAAACGATAAGTCATAGTTTCGCATAAATTTTGTAAGATAATTATGTAACCACCACACAAATATATCATTTAAAAGTAGTTATCTTGAAATGTTCTTAGAGCAAGAATGAAGAAAATGGAATCCCTAAACCAAATAGAAAAATCAAAGAAGTTAGTGTTTGTCTTCTATTGATAGTAGTGATATAGCATGAAGGGTCTCCACATGGAGACTCAAAATTGATTTTGAGATGCATCCAAATACTAAGACTTCAAACTTTTTCATGTTTGGCACTTAGTTGGACAAAGTCATTTTTGAATAATATATTATTTCTTTATACATATTTTCATGTCGTGTAGACTGCGTTTGTTGTAAATTGCAACCTTTTTCTCACGTCACCGACAACACCACTTTATCCTCCATCTTCAACCAATCCAATGTTTGTGATACATGAGACATTGTCGTTGTCTTCTTTGTCATTTGACTAAGAAAGGTAATAAGAAAACTACAAAAAGGTATTTCAATTAATTTGACTTAATTATGGAATATTTTTATTCAATTTGTTTTATTGTATCTCTTCTAGATGTTTAGATTGGTAAGAAGTTTTTTTTTAGATTAATTTTTTAATTGTTATATCAAATCTTATTGACTTGGAGAAAACCGTGTTTAAAAAGATTTTGTAAAAAGTTTTAATAAGAAATTATTAGAAGTAATTTATATTTATTAGTTGTACTATTTTTTTAGTTCCTAAATTTGTTAGAAGGGTATTTTAGTATTTTTATCTTATTCTAGTAACTCTAGTTTTAGCTTATAAATAGGGTAGCAATCATTGCAATTTGTGTGAGTGTGTGTAGCCGTCATTCTCTTAATAGAATATTTCTCTATTCATCATTTATTCTACCTTTGCACCAACAATTGGTATCTAGAGCTCCGGTTCAGATTCATTGGGAAACACAAGTGAACATGAGGTCTTGTGTGTTTGATTTTGATTCTTAGATTCGTGTTGAATCTTGAACAAAATCTGATCAGAATTTTAATTCTGTGGGTTGGGAAACACTGTGTGAGAAATCTGAGTGTACTGTGCAAGGTAGAAGATGAACGGAAACGGCAACATGAACACCAAACTTCCAGTATTTGACGGTAAAAACTGGAACCGTTGGATGATCCAAATGCGTGTACTGTTTGGTGCTCAAGATGTTCTAGATCTTGTCACTGATGGTTATGTTTCAGTAGCAGCAAATGCAACAGATGAACAGAAAAACGCGCAGAAGGAAGTAAGGAAGAAGGATCAGAAAGCATTATTCTTCATTCATCAATGTGTGGATGTAAATGTGTTTGAGAAGATTGCAGATTCAACGACAGCAAAGGCTGTGTGGGACACACTGGTGAGATGTTATGGTAGTGACACATCAGTGAAAAAGGTGAAGCTTCATTCCTTGAGAAAGCAATATGAGAATCTCAACATGAAGAATAATGAGAAAGTCTCTGAATACATCTCCAGAATGATTCTGATCACTAATGAGATGAAGGCGTGTGGAGAAACTCTTTCTGAAGAAGCAATCATGGAGAAAGTATTGAGATCCCTTACCCCTCAATTTGATTACATTGTGGTAGCAATAGAACATTCCAAAGATCTGAGCACCATGAGAATTGAAGAGCTGCAGAGCAGTCTAGAAGCGCAAGAGTTGCGTTTGACTGAGAGAACCTCTGAAAAGGAAGTAGAGCAGCAGGCTCTGAAAGCAACTTCTGATAGGAGGTATCAGAAGCAGTCAGAAGCCAGGAGAAGATCTGATGGTGGTCAGAAGTCAGAAAGCTCAACCTATGATAGACAAAAGAATGCTCAGAAGGGAAAAGAGAAGTATGACAAGAAGAAGATCCAATGTTACTGTTGTAAGAAGTTTGGTCACTTTGCTAGAGATTGTTGGTCAAACAAGGAGAGAAAATCATAAGAAGCAAATATAGCCAGAAGTTCTGATGACGAATCTGTGCTATTGATGGCCTCTGAATCTGATAATATGGATCTGATAGACTGGTGGTATATGGACACTGGCTGTTCAAATCATCTTACTGGAAACAAGAAATGGCTGGCTGACTTTGACTCTGAAAAGAAAACAAAGATCAGATGTGTTGATGACAAATATCTTAATGCAGAAGGTATGGGAAATGTCAGAGCGATTCTGAACAATGGGAAAACAGCATTGATTCAGAACGTGTGGTATGTACCTGGCATCAGAAGCAATCTGATGAGTGTGGGACAATTAATTGAGAAAGGTTTTTCAGTTATCATGAAGGACAATCTTCTGAAACTGTATGACTGCAATCAGAAGTTGATTATGGAGTCAGAACAGGGAAGGAATAAAACATTCAAGGTGAATGTCAGAACTGCAGACTCAGAATGTCTTAGTACAACAAGTGCTGAGAAGGAGAGTGAGCTGTGGCACAGAAGATTTGGTCATTTGAATTTCAGAAGTTTAAAACATCTGAATTCAAAGAAGTTGGTACATGGAATTCCTGCAATTAAGAAGCCTGAAAAATCATGCAAAGTTTGCATGGAAGGAAAACAACCACGATTGCCATTTGCGTCAGAAGCTGCTCCAAGAGCAAAACATGCCTTGGGAGTTGTACATTCTGATGTGTGTGGTCCATTTCCAGTAGCATCAATTGGAGGGAATAAATACTTTGTGTTATTTGTTGATGAATTCATAAGAATGACATGGGTATCTGTTATTAAGTTCAAACACGAGGTGTTTGATGAATTCAAGAAGTTCAGAATGAAGGCTGAAAATCAGAGTGGTCAGAAGTTGAAGATTCTTAGAACTGACGGTGGAGGTGAGTATAACTCCAAAGAGTTCCAGAAGTTCTGTGAGGAGAATGGAATTGAGCATGAGGTTACTGCTCCTTATACCCCTCAACACAATGGTCTTGCTGAAAGAAGAAACCGCACTTTGCTTGATATGGTGAGAAGCATGCTAAAGGAGAAGAAGCTTCCTCAGAAGCTCTGGGGAGAAGTTGTTGCCACTGCAACGTATGTACTCAACCGTTGTCCTACGAAGAAGTTGAAGGAAATAGTTCTGATACAGAAGTGGACTGGAGATAAGCAAAGTGTTAGTCATCTGAAGGTGTTTGGTTCTGTTTGCTATAAACATGTTCCAGAAGCCAGAAGACAGAAGCTGGATGATAGAAGCAAAGTGATGATTCTGATAGGGTACCACAGTACAGGTGCATACAAGCTCTATTGTCCAGAAACCAATAAAATTGAATTCAGCAGAGATGTGATTGTGAAGGAATCAGAAGTTTGGAATTGGGATAAGTCTCAATCTGATTCTGATGTTAGAACTTCTGAAGAAAGGTCAGAGTTAAGAATTTCTGAAGTTGGAGTAAACTCTGATGTTGATTCTGATTCTGATAGTGATTCTGACTCTGGAGAAGACTCAGAAGATGAAGGTGACTCTGATGATCCAGACTCTAATGGTAATCCAGATTCTGGTGGCAATTCAGACTCTGAAGATGGCCAAGGCTCTAGAGGAAGTCAAGCCTCTGAAGCTAGAAATTCTGAAGTTCCAGACTCTGGAAATATGCCAGACCCTGAAAATGGTCAAAGCTCTGGAGGAAGTCAATCATCTGAAGCTCAAGACTCTGAACAAGTTCATAGACCACAAAGAATAAGAAACGTCCCCAGAAGATATGCAGAATTTGACATGCTGCAAGACACTGAAGTAGACTCTGAAGGAGAAGTTATTCAGTGTGCCATGATAGTAGACTCTGAACCCATAAGTACAGAATAGGCTCTTAAGAAGAAGCTCTGGCTGAAGGCCATGAAAGAAGAACTTGATGATATAGAGAGAAACAAGACTTGGAAGCTGACAGAACTTCCAAAAGAAAAGAAAGTCATCAGCGTCAGATGGGTTTTCAAGCAGAAGTTAAAGCCAGATGGTTCAATTGGCAAATATAAAGCAAGGTTGGTAGCCAGAGGATTTCTACAAAAACCTGGGCTGGATTATTCTGAAGTGTTTGCACCTGTAGCAAGACATGAAACAATCAGAATGGTGATTGCAATAGCTGCTAACAGGAATTGGCCTCTGATGCATTTAGATGTAAAATCTGCATTTCTGAACGGTCCATTAGAAGAAGAAGTTTACGTGTCACAACCTCCTGGATTTGTGAAAAAGAATCAGGAAGGGATGGTGTATAGATTATACAAAGCTCTATATGGATTGAAACAAGCGCCCAGAGCTTGGAATCAGAAGATTGATTCATTTTTCAAGAAGCAAGGCTTTCAGAAATGTGAGATGGAGTATGGTGTTTATGTTCAGCATACTTCTGAAGGCAATATGACTCTGGTATGTTTATATGTTGATGACATACTGCTGACTGGAAGTTCTGAACAGGAGATAGCCAAGTTCAAGAAAGTTCTGATGAATGAATTTGAAATAACTGATCTAGGCAAAATGACATACTTTCTAGGGATGGAGTTCAGATATTCTAAGAAAGGTATCATTTTGCATCAGCTCAAGTATGAATTAGAACTTCTGAAGAGATTTGAACTGAAGAATTGTAAGATTGTTGTCACACTTTCTGATACAAATCAGAAACTGGATTCTGACTCTGATGGAAAGGATGTGGACGCTACAACCTTCAAACAGTTGGTTGGTTCTCTAAGGTATCTGTGCAATACCAGAC